AAAAAAATATATATATATACACTGATCGAATTGAGTAACCTCCTCCTTTTTCGAAGTCGGTTAAAAATGGCACCACGTGCCTACCGATGACAACCCAGCGGATTGCGCATCTCGAGGATTAAATTGCGATCAATTAGGTACCCAGTCTATTTTGTGGACTGGTCCGTTGTGGCTTAAACTTTCCTCAGCTGACTGGCCGCATGATACCTCCGTGATCGCGTCCACTTCGCTGGAAGAGCGTTCTCTCCCTGTAAATATGGCAACCCCCGTACCAACCTGGGATCTTGCCAACCGATATTCTAATTGGACAAAGTTACTACGAGTCACCGCATATATCATATCTAGATTTATCAACAGATTAAGGCGACTGTCCTCTCTCCCAAAGCTGACGATTATCTCACGTGATTCCATTCATGATAAAGGTGATAGTGGTGTGTTAAATCCGAGTGAAACACAACAAGCCCGTCTATTCTGGTTGAAATACATTCAGCGTAGCCTATTCTTGAATGAATTGCAATGTTTACAAAACATCCAGTCGCTTCCTCGAAACAGCGCACTTGTATCGCTGAATGTAAAATGTATACAGGGTGTCCCGTAACTAGTGTTACTCCCTGAAAGGGGTAGTAGAGGACGTCGTTCTGAACAAGATTTTCCTTTGCAAAAATGGGGTTTGAAGCTTCGTTTTTGAATTATTAAGCAAAAACACGGACCAATCTGAGCGCGAGGATTTCACGCGCTCAGACGCGAGAGCGACAGCTTCGAAAATGACAGTCGATCGTGATCGTGAACAAGCGTATCGATACCACGTCGGTATAGCGTCGGTATGATAGAAAGCTGTTAGATGAAAGTTACATTGAAAAACGAATGAAAAAATCTGAATTATTATTGAATTATCATTTATTAATGCATAAGAAATGAAGAAAGTAGTCCTTACTCACGTAATCAAAATATGTCGAATTTATTCGATACATTTATTTGTTAGCGCAAAGAAATAATAAATAAAATATGGAAAATTATTCTCCTTAGATATTATGATGATGAAAAACAACAAATTCTTATTTTTAAAAAATGAAATAACCTTTCCATTCAACAAATAAAAATTTGAATTTGAATAATTAACAAATTTAAATGTGACTCACCCATTAAACCGTAAATAATTACGATGAAAATGTATCTCTATCGCCGGGTCGATCCACCGATTCTTGCTGATAGCATAAATAAATCACCATACAGAAACTCTCAAAAAACGCTCAAGTAACTTCACTGTTATGTTTCATTATTAGTTTTTATTATCACTTTTCTCTGTCACTTTTTACTAATTTTCATTAATTTTCAGTGCTAGTCCAACCCGTAAATAGGACGAATGAAAACACGTGAACGAATATTCATAAATAATTTACACTATATTATTTTGAAAGCAAGAAAACAGAATTTTCGGTTAAAAACAATGATGCATTTTATTTCGACACATTTTTTTCGACAATAAACGACGACTGTCGATCGACGCCGCAGTCGTTCAACAGATCATCGTTGCATGGCAACCGTTCGCGACATATGCCTCGCGATCGAGAACGAAACCGCGATCCGTGGCCAATGTAACAATGTCTTCTAATAAAATATGTAATATAACTTCGATTTCTCAAGTCGGATACTTTATAATGGGAATATAGCGTATCGTCAAACATACATATCTATGAATAATCGTTTACGCGTTTTCATTCGGTCCGTTTACCGGTCGTGCTTATGTTGTGTAATTATTAGAAAGAGACATTGAAATAAATTGAGAGTTCATTGACCCTGCCAGGACAGGGAGCTGTTGATACTCTGATCGGTGAATCTACTCGGTGACACAAATATTTTTTATCAAAGCTAGTCTTCATGAATCAATGGCTAAGTTTTATTTAAGATGTTTTTGTATTTTTAAAATTAAATGTACGCAGCAATTGATTTATTTCATTTCAATGAGGTACTGCATTAGATATTCCATTCCAGTTT